CCCCCCCCCCCCCCCGCTAAGGGGGGACACGGGCAAGGGGGTACAAGAGGAGGCATTTAAGCCTCCCTAGCCTCCCGCTGCCTCTGAGGCTGTAGGCCACCTTATTTAAACCTAACAAAAAGTAGGTTTATGATTTGAACTTCGACCTTGTAGCAGCCCAGTGACACGTCGGCAGCCACGATGCAGTGGTGGGCAGGAAAACGGTGGGCCTGGAAACTGCTCCTAGACCACCCTGTATCATCAGGTCCACACAGAGAACACACGGGAACCCTTTAGACCAAATAAAAGTAAATAATCATACCAATATAAACAGGGCCTTTGACCCTTTCATTTTATTAAAATGGCACGTAAATATTAAAACAGCATACTGATCACTTCCTACATCTGCAAGCCCCCGAGTGTGCTGATTTGGAGCCGCCTGTGGGCTCCTTCCTGGAGGCTGCAGACTCATGCATTCAGCAATTCATGTTCTTTGTCGGTTTTCCCAACAGCATCAGGATTTGATAATGGGTCGAGATCGGCGAAAAGGCTGAACCAGGCAGTCAGGTCCGAGGAGGGCTTGGCAGGCTCTGGGGAGAGAAGAGCAAACATGAGCACACCTACCTGGCTAACTCCCACCTCTGCCAGGCTGCAGGCAGGTGGGTCCAGGTGCACCTTGAAGAGGGAGGACGTTCAATCCGACAAACCCCATTGCTCTTTGTCACTAAGCCTTGTTAGGGTATTATTCCATGCCCCCCTGTTGGCCGGTTGGCTGAGCAACATTTTTAAACCATGGTCTTTATACAGTTCAATGCACAGTGATCCTTTGTGTTAACCCACACCTGCACCTCCACCCAGCGATGGCCATAGCCCGCAGAGCTGCCTGAAACCCCAGGCCCCATGCTTCACCACCACCAGGAAATATCAGTCATTTCAGAAACCAGACTGAATGTCTCAAGCAAGGTGCTTCCCGGAGGAATCTTTTCAAATCTGCTGGGTTAAGAGAAACACCGTGGTTGCTCTTTTCAGCCTTCAAAGCAACAGGTCCAGAAGCGGGGAGGGGGGGATGGCACCTAGGCCTGACTGCCCCTCTTCTCTCAAGGTCACTGCCTTCTTTAACCCTCTCCCATCAGAGGAAGGGAGCCTGTGACAGGCCTCCCCTTCCCCACTGGGCTCTAAATTGCCCCCATACCCCTTACACTCCAGCCTCAGTGGAACAGCCTTCAGCTGTCCTTTCACCGAACCACCTGCCCTAACTTCTTGAGTGCCACGATTACAGAGCCTAATTATTTTCCAGACGAGGAGAACGTTTTCAAAAGAGCGCCTGATGCAAGTGACTTACAAATAAGCTGGGGGCTCCTCTCTATATACATCATTCCACATGAGAATCTAAGTTCATTCGCTTGGATGACCCATGCCTTTTTTTCTTTCTCCAACGGGTGGCGGTATCAAAAGCATGAAGTAAATGTCTCTCTGACAGGTTATCCTTCTAGCTGAGAGCTGCTAGGAATGTGCTTGCCATCTGGTTGAAAAGAGTCTCAAAAAATACTGGTAGCACAAGTTGCTAAAAGTGGTTATATGACAGTGATAGAGAATATTGATGGGATTATACCAACATACACAGGGCTTTTGATCTTTTCACTAAAAAGCACTTAAACATTAAGACAGTATACTGATCACTTTATACTTCTGATTCCCCTCCCTCTGTTTTTCAGTCTCTTGTGGATATATTATTTTAGAATGAGATAACAATGCATCTATTACAGAGATAAGCTATTGCAAGCAAGACTAGTTAGTAACTGTGCAAGTTATTATTATGTAACATTAATTTCACATTGTGTGCAGTTAGCCCCGAAAACACTTGGTTTATTTTGATATGATAAAGTGCGACTTCAGAGATCTCAATACAGCTTGGTGGGAGCGGGGGAGACATCACTTTTTTTTAAAAAAAGGGAGTAATTTCTCTTTCTTTACTCAGGTAGGAGGTCCCACAAGGAAACTGTATGGGGCAAGATTGACTTAGGAGGATTAGTGTGTTCTTGATAGAGAATATCAAGATATCTCAGAGACAGCACCAGTGAAAACACCCTCCATGCTCACCTCCCCTTCCCAGCACCTTCCGATGGTGGGTGTGGCCCTGCTGTGAAGAGCCAGGTAACTATACCTCAGGGGCTTGGGGGTCCTCACATTCCCCAGACCTCCACTGTGGGAGGGAAAACCAGGTGCAACTATTTGCACAACACCTAAAAAACATCAAGGGAATGCTTTGTGATGATAATAAAATTGACACTTCCTTTAACTTCCTGTGGTCAACACAGGGAAAGTGGGTGATGACCAAAGAAAGAGAGAGAGCTGCAAATACAGATGAGATCTTCCTCAGGCAGATGTTTTGTCTCAAAAGAACAGATTTCACAAGCTCCAAAGGCCCTCTTTTGACAACTAAGACACCTGGCTCTTCATGAAAAGCACTAAGCAAATGCCTTGTCTGGTGGAAGCAATGGTATTTTCAGCTAAGGATCGCCAACCTCAGTGGCCTTTTCTCCCTTACTGTTGTCACCCAATCTTGGGGAGCACCCGGTCACATGGAGAAAGATGTTGGAGTCTTCCTCATTAGATTTGATAGAGGGAGTTATGAATTAGGACATTAAGCCAGGAAAAAAGTTAGAATGTTAGTTCCTAGGATCATGCCGAAATCTCCACCCATGCAGCCCCTCCTTTGAACCCAAGGTGCTCACATGGAAATTAGTAAAGAAATAAAGAAAAGGGTGTCAGGCCAGTGAAAATGAAGGCAACTGTCATTGAAGGGCGGATAGAACACTATTGCCTTTCACTGCAGGGCTACTGCCACTTGGACTGCTTGCCTTTGGTGCTGGCCATGGAGGACATGTAGGATTGACATTGCTCTCTGACCAGCCTAATGTTCAAAACCAGAGGTTGTTAGATCTGGGGAAGGGCAGTTACACTGCCCCATCAGTTCCTGGGGCACACACATGGCTCTCAACTCGGACAGCCTTCAAAGACAGATGAGGAGGGTGGTGTGCAAAGACCCTTCTCCCATGTTCCTCATACCCGGAGTATGTTTTAAGGGAGATTGGATATGTATAATCATGCCCACCTTAAGAGTATGGGAAACTAGGGGAAAGACTGCATTTTGAAAAGCAAATGAGAAATTGCTAAGGCTAAAGCATGTTTGCTTTCAGTTTTATACCCATTTTTCTTACCAAGTGACATCCTTTCATGGTCACACCAAAGATTATCAATAGCGTTGCAAGGAAATCAAGTGCCTTGTTTTCCTGTCACAAATGGGGCAAGCTTAAAAAAGTGAACACCATTAAATGTAGCAACAGAACTAGGGAATGGCTGGTCTTCTCTGCTTCCAATATGATCCAGTTCATTTATTTTCCATACAGCTAATTTAAATTGGGAAGTTTAGTTAATACAGAGAAATAAATGGCAGTCCAGTCCAAATATACGAGGGGAAAGAACATCCCCTTAACTTGATGTCGTACCCTTACAAATGACATTGATCTTGTCTAACCCACTGTTCTGAAAGGCCCCCCTGTGCTCTGCCTGCCCCTAATGATTAAAAGGCATTCAGCAGTCCTGCTTTGGGGGAAGCAAGCCTAGTTTCCCCCCAGTATTTACTGTCTGTGCTGGATGTTTCAGCAAGACTCATTTAATTTAGAACTTTACCATGTACTTCTTTGCACGTCTGCTTTAATTCTTCATGTGTAAGTCCTGTCTTCTCAGTGAGACAGGGAACTCTTTCTTCAGTGTGCTCCATAACACCTAATGTGGTACAGGTAGGTGTGTGGGGGTTAAGTCCATTGTTGATTCTCACTGTGAAACGTAGACCATCAGATGAGGCACCACTGTTGGGTCCAAATGGTTAAAACTGTATCCTTTCACTGGGATGCTCTGGTTGAAGTGTTTTCTACAGAAAAGGTTTTGTCTCTGATAAGGCCCCCATGAGACATCACGTTTAGATGGCAGAGTTCAGCTGGGGCAGTGAAACCAAATTCTGAAGCAAGCAAGCCACTCAGTAGATGCCACAAAAATGATAAGATGTAATGCTGTTTGTTTCCCCTACCGTTCTAAGATTTGTAATAAGGGACCTAATTATAGAATCATACTATATTGATTAGCTTGTACTTCTGTTTCATCTCCTAGAGTTCTGAGCCCCTTGAAGGCAGGGACCATGTATTATTCATCTTTACATCCTTTAGTGCACTACCTGGCACACGATGGGTGTTGAAATTAAGATAAACTATTGAAGAACTCTTTTAAATCATGAGAAGTGCACTTATGAAGCTTTAAGGGATGGTAAAGCAATGCTTGGCGCAGTAGATGCTATAATACTCACTGGTTGATTATTTCATTTTAGGCAAGTAAACACAAACGTCTCTATGAAGACTAACCAATGACAAGTGAAACAGGTGGGCTGTGACCTATTTATTGGGTCTAAAATGATGAAAACATAGAGGGTTTAAAAAGTATTGTTATCCATTGGAAAGGTACTTGAACATGTTGTTAACATAATTCACAAACAACGAAAAGCACCAGATTTTAAAGGAACTTTTTGGGAAGATGGAAATGTTCTAACACTAGACTGTGGTGATGGCTGCACAATAAAAATTTACCAGAAATCCTTGAACTGTTCTCTTACAATGGGTGAATTTCATAGTATGTAAATTATAGTTCAATAAAGCAGTTTTTAAAAATGACCAGTATTTGGTGTAATCCAGGAGTAACATAACCTCCCTGTTTCCCAGAAAATTGGCCCATGGGCATTTTCCTTCTAAACCCAAATCACATAAATAGTGGTAAATGTAGAAAGTTAAAATTGGAGTTTCATTGGGTGCCAAATAAAGCTCAAAGAGGTAGCATCTAACTGGGTCAATTTTACCTTTTTCCCTAC